AAAAAAAAATTGTTAATTTGACTAAATCCGTTCAACTAATTACCATTTTTTTAATTGAAATATTTATATATTTAAGTCAAATAAGACATATTAAATCTAACATGACGTATATTTGACTTAAATATATAAATATTTCAATTAAAAAAATGGTAATTAGTTGAACGGATTTAGTCAAATTAACAATTTTTTTTTTCATTGTAGAAATATTATTACTTATTGTTAGCTAATTTTGTAAAAAATGAAAGTGCGGGTGAAAATTAAAAGTATTGATCTCCGAATACCAAAGATCAACTTTTTTGCAATCGTAATGCAAAATTTTATTGGGCCAATAAAGCTAAATATTTTAAGACAGCCTATTCTAATCTCCGTTAGTCTTTTTTGTTATCTTGTTCAGATATCTTTGTAGTTTATGCGAGATTATTCGGTGCATTAGTTTTATTTCCAAGATATATTTATCGGTGTAAGCATACGTGTTATATTTCAGAGGAATCTTTTAAATCAAACAATCTTTTCATCGACTTTCGCTTTCTCAACTTTCTCTCTATTAAACACACTATTTACACTTTGAATGCGCATGACATTTAAAATTGTGGTTTAACCCATTTTTTTGCTTTCTTTCTTCCTTTCTTTCTCTTAAGATTATTTTTGATGATCCTTCTAAAACTTTTTCAATAGAGCATCTAAGACGTTTTCTATAAAATGCTCTTAAATAGATAAACCGAAAAAATTTGCAATTTAATGCAATATTATTACATATATATTTTAGAGAGTTATATAAAAGTATATAAAAAAGATTGAAAATAGAGTTCTTTTTGAAGGCTAAATTTTAAATATTTAAACTAAATATTTTAGTTACAATATTTATTTTTAAAATAATTTTTGTATTACTCTAATTTTATAAATTTTTTAATAGCGAAATAATAAGTTTTTTTTAATATCGATATTAAATCGATGTTTGAAACATTTATTATATATATATAATATTCTAGATTTCTTCAAAACATAAAATGTTACCATATCACATAACCATGCGCCAATAATACAGCGTACCTTGATAAGATTACGAAAGATATTCGCATATCAGCAGCGGATAGCAACGTACTCTGTAAAAACTCGTAGTAATTTCAAACTTTGTATTATAAAAGTTACAACGTTGTTATAAAAAGACATTAAATTAATTAAACTTGTGATATTATAATATAAAGATTAAAAATTTAAGAGAAAAAAACTTGAAAACTTATTTTAAATATATTATATTTTCAAACAATTTAAAGAAATTGCTTTACTATATAGCATAATATTTTATATTAGCATTAAATTTTAAAGCTAACTTAATTTTGCAAAATTCATTCTTTTACACATATTTTGTGTGGATTAATTGGAAAGTGCAAACAAAATCATTTTACGTCATTCGATCAAATAAAAAAAAATACATTCCTTCTTTTGAGCTTGAAAGGCTATTGCGAGTCGAGTATTCTTTCTTCGAAATCCTTATATAGCCGAAAGAGTTTTTGCGGAAACTCACTTCAATTAGTACGTCTTGAAAAGAGATGAACAATTGAGCAATCATCTATCGATTTAATCGTGTCGCGGATAAATTGCGCAAAATCCGTAATGAAACTCTCGCGCATTAAGGTTTCCGAATAGGAAGAACTGCGGTAAGGACTCGACTTAAATACAGGAGCGAGGAAAATTGGCACGTGCCAGCCACGAGCCACAAGTCCGAGGCACGCGATTGTACAATGGCGTAGCGATTGAATATATTTTTGATTTCGAGAAATCTCTGAAATTTTGATTTCGAGTCGCACATAAAACTCATAAAATTGAAAAAATAAAACGATTCGTTGACAGAAAAATTAAAGTAACGAATTTACAGATAATGCAATATTCTGCAACGCGGAATTTTCAGAGAGGATTGCATATCTGCAAATTTCTTTTATGGTATTATATAGTTATGTAATCTGATTTGCTATTTTAATTTATTTAAGATTTTTACTCTCTAAGCACGCGTAGGAATTAAAAATCATTGTGACTTATTGAAGAAGGAAAACACTGGACAATAAGAAGTAAATATAAATTAATGAGAGATAAATGTTGAAATCATTAATCTGTTAAAAAAAATTTACATTGAAATGTATAAAATGTTTTCCTTATGTCTAGAAAAATTTTCGTTTATCAAAGTTACTTCGTTAAGCGCGATAAAATATAACGCTATTATACACATATTATACGCGATGCATTAACCAAGTTTAATAAATCGCACGACAATTAGCGATTAAAGCGCGTGACCTGGGGAAATTCAGAATGACCTTACGGAAATTTACAGAATATTCTGTTGCGTATAGTTCATTCAATTCAGAATGTAATGTAGAATAAAGAATACATTATTACAATCCACGATTGATTATATATCGACAATTTATATTAATTGAAAATATCAATTATGCAAAGAAAGCAAAGAGAAAAGAATTAACATGTCTTAGAGTAAACTTTCTGAAAAATTAACATTACAATTTATTGAAACAAATTTCGTCGCAAACACAAAGAAAGTCTTACATAAATCCATACTTATCTTTTATGTGAGAGTGTAAATTCAATCGAGTCAATCGATTTGTTCCAAGAATATATGTATATAATTTAAATGGAATCGGTTTGTTATATTTATAAATAAGTAAAAGACAGGCACACCCGAGATAATGAGAGTAGATAAATCCGAAATGACACTCTGCTCTTCGGGATTAAATGCCGCCGACTAAGCGCCGTGGGCGCCTCGGAGCGGCGCGCGGCGCGCGACGCGAAGCCGCGCGAGACGTGAGACGTGAGACTCTGAGACCTCATTCGCGAAACTTCAGTTCGCGTACGGCCGCTGCGGTGAGAGGACGTGTTTTCGGCGCGCGCGTCCGTGGGAAAGAGAGAGAGAAAGAGATTCGTCCCTTGGTCCATCCCGCCGTGTCGCCTGCTCGTTCTCCCCATCTAGCCTTGATTTGCCCGCGCGAATGTCAGATGATCGCCAGTCATGATCTCCACTGTGACGCGATACCTCCTGCCAAGCATTCTCTTATCATGCACCCTCGTGGTCACGGCGTACGCCAGGTCCTGGGGTAAGTTTATGAGAGAGATATATGACAGACACGTGTGGAATAGCTATCATTAAATTCGGTCGTTCTTAATGACACGTTGCGCGCCGGTAAGCAGCCGATTATACCGGGAGGGCCGCGCGCACGGGGTCGCGACACATAGAGACACCGGTGGCGATCCGTGTCCGTGTGCGCGTCCATGTGTACGCGTGTGCGCGTGTTGGTGCACGAGCGCCGACTCCATTCACCCACGGCCGCTCGTCACGTACGCCACTCGTCGCGTTCGCCGTTTTTTTTCGCGCGCATCTGATCACGCACGAAAACTGAATGAAACGTCGCGACGAACTGCGTCGCTCGGTGTTATTAAACGTCACCGATTGTCCGTCCGTCGAGATTTATCGTCCTCGGTTGTCCGTACACCTGAATTTATGTAACGAATGTCAGCTGCCAAGGGTGACGATCGCGCGCGCGTACGCAATCGCACACGTATACACACTTCAATGGGAAACGAGAGCAGGCGGGTCGCGATATTTGCGATATCCATCCAAGAAACGTACACGTTCCCTCGATGATGTCGGAGGTCGTAGAATTTTGTTTTTGAAGATAATTATTTGGCGGTCACGTCTAAGGTCGCGCGGCGACAGGAGTCGCGCGCGTGTTTTCGCGGAGCGTGTATAAATGAAATTGCGTGATCTTATCTTTTGTGGCGAAAGAAGTACGAAACTGTTGGCACCTTGAATCGGTTCCTGGTTTAGCAACGCATGAGAGAAAGAGAGAGGGAGAGAGAGAGAGAGAGAGAGAGAGAGCGTATGTAATAAAGAAATCAATTGGGGCGCTTAAAAACCTGCAGTCAATAGCTCATTCCTCGTCTCGATTATTAATACGCATCGCATAATTGAGGACATAATCGACACAATATATCGGAATGCTGGCGCTAACTACACTTTGGGAAAGCCAGTAGTCAAAGATCAAAGTATCGTATGTAGAACGCGATAACAAATAATAATATTACATAATCGAGGAAAGAACTCTGTTTTCTTATCGGTGCAACTTGTTGATAATCTTAAAATTTTCTCTAGTGCCGATTTGCATCATTCAAGTGGATGTTTATACGATAATTTAAATTACTCAGCAGAAAGTTATAAGTAGCATCATAACATCTCGTGGACTTGAACGTATAACTCTGATAATTTAATATTAGAAGCATTAAAACACCACATCACAAAATGTATATTTTAATCACTATTTCATTTCTGAATCTATTACATGTGTCAATAATATTAATAGCAAATATTGTAAAATTACAAATAAAAATGCAAACACATGAAAAAAACTATCGAAGCTTTTGAAAAGAAATAAAAACTGAAATGTTTCGCTTCGTGACGATCAAGCTTTTATTCATATACGTGAATCACGTATGCGAATAAGTTAACGCGAATTTAATTTCCATAAATTTGCCTTTACATCTTTTTTGTGTCTGTTTTGTTCGAGAAGAAAGTGTTTTTTTTTTTCAGTTAAAAAGTGCATCGCGCAAAACACGGCTTTATATCGTACAGAAGTTTTGAAAAAGTCGATATATAATGGTTACTCAACACGACGGTACTCAAAACATTATCTCGCGATGAGATCTTTTTTTTTCACTTGCTGCGAACATAAACAGATGTATTAGAATCTAGAATGTAAGTTTCGCTAATAATATTTATGCAACTTTGAACGCGTTACCATATGCCACATAATCGAACAAAAAATATAAAGGTATAATGCAAATAATACAAGATATTTTTTTACTCGATATACGTTGTTCAACTCTTAATAATACCACGTATCATATCTGATCGTATAAATAATATAGATGTTGTAAGAAACTGATTTTTGAATTAAGGCTTGATATTTCTAATGCTTGCTATGCATAATGCATAATAAATCATCGTGAAAAAAAAGATAGATCTAGTTTGTAATAACTTAATTGAAGTTACATTAATTTTGTATAAAATGATATGTGATGTTATTCATAAATTTAAAATATATCAAATTTTTTTTTGCAAAAAATTGGTAGACTCCTTTTTTTATTTTAAGAAACATGGAAAAAATATAGCATCTGTCTAATCCTAATAAATTGCGTTATTGCACATAGCATATATTCGCGCCAAGCTATTCAAACACATACACTCTATCAGTCGCTGCTCGATAAATAAATTATTCAACACTGTAATAGATCGCTAGAACGTTCTTCGTTCGCGATAACTGATCGCAATATGATCCCGCTATTTTTTTGCGTATCTGCTTGCAGCCAGTCATAGGGAAAAGAAAGAAAAGAATTAAATAATGCTGCTGTTAAAAATTAAATAAATTTAATTGGCTAATCGCTCAATCGCATTGAATTATGTTGACGTAATAAATGTTGTGTACACAAATCGCTCAATTAAAATATTTTCTTCATCAGAAACTTCCACGATGCTCGCGCGTGCGTCGATTCATCGCAATCACAGTGTTTCTCCGATTATAGTTCACGAGAAGATTGACAGACCGTAAATGTGCTTCGTCACGCAGCGAAAATATATTTCGACTAACAATACAAAAGTATATTGTATATATACAGCTAAGATACATTATCGTACAGTGCGCTTACATGAATACAGCGAAGAAGTCGTTTCATGTTTATCTTACTCATTAATTCTATCATGACCATCAATTGTAATTATGCATATCTTATTCAGTTCAGTGTATCTCTTTCTATTTCATGAAGAATATATTTGTAGAGTTTCTCATTTTCAAGTTTAGGAATACATACATCAGATACGCAAATTAAAACAATTGACGCATTTTCATGTTCAATATTTAACGCTAAGAGTGAAAATTTAACTGTTTTCCTGTAAGATAAAAATTTCATTCCGTGTTATTAATGCCTAAAAATCATGTTCAATAATAAAGATTGAATATGTAAATACATCATTAAAATATAATTTTAATTCTGAAAAGAATGTGCATATTGATTTACAAGTAAATAGATTAAAACGTAAATATATCGCGGAAAGCATCACAAATTCTCAAGTAACGCGACGTGCGACCGTAGTTCCTCTAGAGCCGACGCAAAAGTTTCATTACCGAGAAATTAAAAATATTTTGTTTTGTTTAATAAATATAATTGATAATCTCGAGTGTTGCGAGATATATATGTGACTATGGAACGTAATATAACGAATTAGATTGTTTTCCAACTAATCGATGATAAAGAATTCAAGAGCGACTTTGTAGATTAGACTATGATAACGATCTTTCTACAATCCATTGCACATATTCGGAAAAGTGTAAAATTACAAAAAAAGAAATTATAATTATTTTCTTTTTAATTTATCGACACAATCTAATTATTATACAGTTATTTATATTAACACAGACTATTTCTCGTTACTCAATATTTTCACAGGCAGTATTATTAATTTTTTTCACACGATCACCTAAAACCAGATTTTAAATTGTTCTTTAACGGTTCTCTAACCGTTCTCTTCTTTTTACAGACTTGGCCGTGGTGATCGGCAGCGAAATCGACTTTTTCGCGCGGAACGGTACGCTCACGGGTCACGCTAACATCGCAGAAGCCGTCGCCCTGACCGGGGTAACATATGACGATACCACTCGAACAATGTATTTATCCGATGTAAGAAACAACGTATCCATATTTAGTAACGATCTCACGGAGAAGGATTTCAATTCAATCCCCTTGCTTAAGAGTAAGTATAGAGAGAGCATGCAAATTGATTCTTCATTATTGTAGTTGCTTTCCAGAGATATTTTAGAAATTATAAGTAAAAATTGACTAATCTTCTCTCTTCACGGATAAATTTATTGTAAATTACAAGGAAATTCAAAATTTGAATATAGATGAATAAGAAAAAATAAAAGATAGAAGAAAATATTTATAAAAATTACTGATATTTATAAAAATTACTTGACACTAGAGAAAAATACGAAAAACTAGAATGCGATTTTTGTATTTACATGAATATCAATGAAGGACTTTTGCTTGATAAGCAATCGTAAAAAATTGTGACGTATTTTATAAAGATAATTCAACTATAAACCGGCTTTATTGATGAAAAATCATTCACTCATAATCAGATGTATTGTAAATCCTTCGTGCCTGTTTCTTCACACGTTATTATCAACAATTGTTTACATAGATATCGCGATCTCTTCGGCACATCTCCTCTCAGAAAAAACATAATCTTTTGCTAAATTTTTGTATGCACATTTTCCTCTTCGGAAATCTCTCGCACAGAAAGAAATCGAGATTAACGCTTGTTTGCCATGAAATGTATGACGATGTAATATAAATTGTGTCTAATTAAATTATGAATGTAGAAGAGAACGGAATGCACATTACGGGGATGGTTTTCGACACCCCGTCGCGCATTTTATTCTGGATCGATGCCTTGAAGGAGATCATAGCAAAGATGCACGTGCCGTTAGACGGCGAACCGAGTAATCCTGTCATTTTGCACAATCTCACTGGGAACAGTCCACGTGGCATCGCTCTCGACGTGTGTAACAGGTGAGCAATTTATGATGATCTATTTTATGGAGATTTCTCTTCTCGTTACAATTATACATTCTAAAAATGAGCATTAAACTAGAAATCGTAAATTATAATTAAAATATATCTGCAATATATCTCATTGATTTTCTATTAATTTTGACGTATTGGAATCTCGTATCTGATTTTCGTATCTGAAAAGATAATTTAGTAATATTAATTATATTATATAGACATATCATAAATAAAACAAGGTAAAATAGCATTATTAATATAATATATTTACATGTGGATTAAAAGAAACGGAAAGAGGCAAAGTATATGTAAAAATCAAATCTCAGATGAATAACTTTCGCAGCAATTTTCAGTACATTTACCCATTTCGCATTGTCAGCGAATACTGAAGCTTTTTGAAAAAAAGTAAAAATACAGCTGAAAATGAATCTAAAAAGGCGTAAAAAATAAGATCTCATTCAAATATTTTGATTACTTATTTTACTTTTATTTTGTGAATGCAATTTCTTGTGTAAGATATTTCCTATAAGTTTTCTCTCTCTCTCTCTCATATGTTTTCTCTCTCTCTCTCTCTCTCTCTCTCTCTCTCTCTCTCTCTCTCTCTCTCTCTCTCTCTACCATTATATATAAAACAAATAAAAAAAGAAAGCATTTTCCTAAAGAAATATTTCTAAAAAATAGCCGCGTGTATGTGTTGAAAACAGATAAATTAATTTATAAGTTATTAATACGAAATATATATTTGTCATGTGTTTTGCTTCGAATTCTTTCAACGCCAAACTTTTCTTAAAAAGAAAAAAAAATAGATAAAAAAAGATAGAAAATCGACAATAATCGCAAGCCCCATGATTCTCTCTAGCCGCATATATTGGGTGAATAGTAATACCACGAACCCCAGTATCGAGCGTTCTAATCTCGACGGAAACGATCGGACAATCGTCGTCAAGGAAAACTTGTACGAGCCTCTGGCGGTAGCAATCGACCACGCGGAGCGGAAGTTATATTGGATCGATGATGTTGAAGGGATTCATTTCAAGATCGAGCGTAGCAACTTAGACGGCAGCGAGCGGGAGTTGCTGATCCACAACAAACATCAGCAGCCGGTCTATCTGGCGGTGGACAACGAGTCGATATATTGGTCCGATTGGGTGTACAGCGCGGTCTGGACCATGCCGAAGAACGCTAAAGCCGGAGATTACCCAACCAAGTTCAAATCGTACTACGATTCTAGAAGGGATGCCGATCCGGCCGGCATCGTTACGCGCGACAATGTCGGCAAAATCGATTGCGCGACCATCTTATCGATGATTGAGAAGAAGACGAACTTGTCGGGGTCCGTTCCACGGCCGTTAGCCGAGACATTTAATAATTTAACTACCAGCACGGAGGAATCGGATTTGACCACCGAGAGCTTCAGATACTGCCTAAACGACGGCCATCTGAACAAAACAGACGGCACGTGCCGATGCAAACCAGGGTAAGTGGCAATATAACTTTAATACAGTATATAAGCGGATCATTGAAATAGATGGTATCATATACTAATTTAAAGCGTACTTTTTATATATTATAATAAATATTATTTTTATATTAAAATATAAAGATAGAAGTTGTAGCACATATTTTTAAGATCGATTAAAGCAGTTAGATATTTCCATAGTACTATTGCTAGCAATTCGAAAAATCGTATAATCCTTGTAGGTTTACCGGACCCTTTTGTGAAATTTCGATTTGTCATAATTACTGCCTTCATGGTAAATGCATTATAAATCATCGCGGACTTCCCGAGTGCGAATGTACAGAGACGTTTAGCGGCGCCCGATGTGAAAGGGATGTTTGCGACGATTACTGCCTATTCGACGGCAAGTGTTCCGTCCAAAATGGAAGGCCGTTCTGTAGCTGTAAATATTCCAAAGGATCTCGATGCGAAGAGCCGAATAACATCGCGGAGGTCTGTACGATCTATTGTGCGAGCAACCGCAGCGAACCACCCAGCGCCAGTGTAATATTGTGCAGGTATGCAAATGCTTCGTTAAAAAGCGAGATTTATCATTACAATTTATCATTATCATTACATGTTCCGTGTAGAAGAATTCCGTATAGAAAGATTATATAGAATTATATCTTAAAAATAACAACATCAAGAAATTTTTAACAAATTATATTATTAACAAAGATTGTGTATATGTATATACGATTATAAAGCAATCTATGTATATATGAATGCAATATGTGCAAATATCAATGTCATTTTGCATGAACAGGTGCATGGACTCGAATCAAACGGCCGAGAGAATTACGTTTAGTGACAATTTCCAAAGCAGCATCTTGCTACCGATGTTTGCAGCCCTTTCTGCTGTGTTTCTTGTAGTGATCGCCGGACTTAGTTACTACGTAAATAAATTACAAAGACGACCGCGTATCAAGAGGCACTATGTGGTCAGTAAAGGCGTGATGCCGCTCACATCTCGACCACAAATACCGGACAATCAATGTGAAATTACCATAGAAAATTGCTGCAATATGAATATCTGCGAAACTGTGAGTGAAATGTCATCTAAATAACGTCACTCGATAGCGAATTATCGCATCAACTTCGCTGACGCTAAAGAAATTTGAGAATCTCGCAAAGCGCATCATTTTCATGCGTCGCGCTCGCACTTTGCCTTAAACGCAAAATCATTACTCTTCGCAATCACGTCTCTCATACTTTTATAAATATCTATACAATGATTCATTAAAAGAAATTTATTTGCTTCAACTGATAAGAATACGCAACCGCATGATTCAAATCATGTATTAACTCCGGATTTAAAAAATTAATTAAATATTTATTTATCATTGCTTTTTTTTTACTTTCACCTAAGGTCTTCTGTTTTCAGTGCTCGAAAAATTAAAAGACATTAAAATTAATTTGTATGTATTATAAGTACACATTTTTTTGAAAAGTAAAGAAACGCATTATTGGCATTTAATAATTATTTTATTGAAAGTGTGTTTTTTAAAATGACAGAGCAGTATTGCACTAGTATTATATCGTGATTAATTTTTTGATTAATTATTTATTTATTACTTTAAATATTTTCTTCAATTTTTTATATGGAAAGTATGGTTAGTTTAAGAAATAGATAATGCGAGAAATTATATATATTCTTTTAACATGCGCGCGCCTTACTAGACACGCAGTGGACTTTATAGTACGTCATGTATACTGCACTATTATTTTTGTAAATGATTATATAATCATTTTTTTATTAATTCTATGCATTCTTTCGCACCAATCGAAAGTTCGTGAGAAAATATGTGATTGCCAGCATTTTGCACATAACTAGAGAGAATCATATCAAATCATTTTTATATTCTCACTATCATTTTATTCAATGTTGAATATGTTTATATGTGAAATATCTTGAAATTTATGTTGCCGATGAAAAAAAGTCATTAATCGTTCTGTTATTAAGCAAAGTTAGGTCATCCTATCTCCGACAGCTTATGAGCGCCGCTAATGAATTCACGCGTAGATTTCAATTATATGTGCAATGTCAACGATCGAATTATGCTAAGATTGATCTGTTTTTCTGTTATATTTCCATTCAGCAATCGGTTAAATGAGGTCTGTGACGATTTATTATGTGCGATAATGTCAGCAGCTACAGTATTCTTTTTGCGCACGATTCGAAGGCATGATATATATTTGTTAGTTAAAATAAATCAGACGATTATTAAGAATAAGACTTCCTACAAAGACATTTATGGAGAGAGATAGAGAAAAAGAGTGCTCTGAGAATAAATATGTTATAACTTATTTATGATGTCACACAAGAATTCGAATTTGTCAAGAAAGCATTTCAGCGCCAGAATATTTTTAAGTTCGTTTAAATTTAGATAGAAGCAACAATTCATTTCGTCAAGTTTACAAAACAAAACAAAAACCGGCAGCCATAAAATAGATAATAGAACAATTTCGTTCTTTTTTACAGCCGTGTTTCGAACCGAAATTACGAACCGGGGTGCCAAGAAGCAATAGTACCAAAAAAGAAGAGAAGAATTCCTTGTTGGATAATATGGAGGGTAATTCGTGCTAGCACAGACTACTCATCTCGTCTCGTCGTATGAAATGGCGAAAATTCTGCACGAGTTCTGCCTCGCGACGGAAATATTCTCGGAATTGTTCCATGTCTGTACATACTGCGGCGGCGAATTTTAGTATTGTTGTTAAGTTTGGAAACATCCGTGTTTACGGGATATGCGCTGTGTTGGCAATTGATTTTGCTCCATCTTGGAAAATGAAGCCAAAGGTCTTTTTAGAAAGTCCTAATTCTTAGTACGTCATACACATTAGGGCTGTGTTTTAGAAACATTTTCTCGCTTAGTAGTCGTTAAACTCATCATTTAATCTTGTTAGACGCTTATTCTAGGAGATAAACGCAAATTGGTTTTATGTTTCATTAAATCTGCCAAACGCAAACGCTCGTGACTGCATACAAGCAACACTGAAATTTCAGATAAAGACGCGTGGTATATATCTATGGAGATATTCATAATGGGAAAGATTTTAATAATAATATTATATTATTAGCTATATTCGATATAATTTCTCCATTATTAAAATCTACATAATATATATAACGATAGCATAATCGAATATATTTTTAAAACGGTGTTGCAAACGGTTTTAAGTAACAAATTTCAATAATGAGATACATAATGAGTGACGATATATGTACATAGACTTTTAACAAAACATACAGTCTCATGAAACTGTATTTGCTAAGTGAAAAGAAAGGCACACATATTCTTTATTCGAGAAAGTAAAAAATAACATGTATGCAATACCTAAGAATCTTCTTTCATAATACATCAATAGATGCCTGCCAGACCTGCCAAACAATATAACTCAGGCTCTCTAATATGAAAAGTTCCCTAAAGCACTTTTCTATATTTTCACATTTTATTCTGTTCATTTCACTTTTATATTATCAAGACTCAAGTATCGAGCTGAAACAAATTGAAAAGAGAAAGAAAGTGTAAGGAAAAAGTAGTTATCGCAGTCACGGAGTGCGCAAAAGTTGCCTTAAGCGGTAATTCTAATCGTTGCTCAAAGTACTATTGAGTACATTCCTGAAGAAAATTTAGATCGCGATGTAGTGTCACAGATATAAGTAGTTGTCTTATAACATTTTCTGACTGAACCATCCGTCAACGGGCTTTATACACAAGTACGTTTATGTAATGGAACTATATCATTAATTTAATCATGAAATCAAAACGCAATTTGATGTAAATTTATCGTCATTCTTGGTCTGATTTGGCGCACATTCATGGTAATATGATCGCGTGCGAAGACTTTTATATTTTAAGATCAAGCTTCTAATTCCATTCTTAATTAACGAATTCTCATTTCGTTCATAATTTCGTAATCATATTTTATCATTTTTTTCTCATACTGTGAGTACAATACATGCATATAAATCGAATTGGATCGTGCTTTTACGCACCGAAATATCTTCAATGTGTGTGAATCCATACTATGATCGAACATTAATGATTTTAATCTTACTCGGGGATCGTTATCACTAACATTCATAATAGTGATATGTAAATTTATATCGCATGTCTCTAGGCAACTAAATACATAATATATGTATACATATGCTACAATATGAGATGTATACTGTAATATGAGATAAAATAGGAAAACGTTCAGAGTTATATACAACGGATACGCGAATGATCCTCACTGTTAAATACCGAAATATCTCCCAGTGATACATTACACTGCAGTTCTATACATACTATGCAAGAAATTTCCGATGTATTTATATACATCAATAATGTCCGTGATCTCGGTTCATTTATTTGTGAGGATCGTCAGTTTTTATATAGAATATCGTTTGAAGATACCTGTGACGTTTAGTACAGAACAATACTCCATTTACTTAACTTCAAAAACTTTTGTTCTGTGCATCCATATGTGGAATGCGAAGCCAACTTTTAAGTCTTCTTCTTTTTTCTTCCAATTTTTTATTTCATCGCAAAAAAGTGCATGAAATTACTCTTTGATTTTCTTTTATCCGATTATGATAGTGCGCATATAAATGATAGTGAGTATACTTGTACATTAAAAACTATATTTTATTTTTGTTGTTCTGTTCGTAAGAAAGATGATCCTAAGTTTTATTTTTAAAATCCGAGGAAATCACATAATGCAATTAATAGTTACTTAAAATTACTTAAAGCGTATAATTTTTACGCACACCAAAGTTGTTTTTTTTTTAATAGTAATAACAAGAGTACAATTATTGGTTTGCAAGAATTGTCACATCGAGTTAAGCTATATTTAGACGTTTTATACAGTTAAGACATTATATGGAAGCATTATATGTAGAAAAAAACCTACTGTTTAATTCTAATCATGTCATAAAGCGGCAAACCAACGTGTTGTTCATTAATTATTTGTTTATAGAAATTACGTTATTCTTTATGATACGGAATAATGTTCCTGTCGTCGTGACAACACAAATTATTTGCAATACATGACGATACTTTTTGTTCCTGTATACGATAGATGCTACTTAAATTGTCACATTTGCTTTTTAAATCTAATATATAATTTTATACGAAAGATTTGCGACATTTGCTCCCGACTATTAATATATATATATATGTACCCATATTGTTTGGAAAATAGCCCTCTCCCGCACACTCATCCCCAGAGACGAGATAGTGGATTTATGGTGAAAGGGTTATATTCCTGAAAAAAAATAAAGCCATAATATGATGCACGGTATGCAATATGTTTTTATTATTATTTGTATGATGTTGTAAATCAGAATTATAAACTTTTCTCACACATACATCTAATAATTTTTTCAAATTAATAGAATTTTTTTTTACTTTGAAATTCGAGAATTTTCTGTATTTATCTTAAATGTATGTACTTAAACTTTAGGTATGCTAAATTGTACTTAAATTGCATAATCAAATAATTAGATACTTTAAAATTATTAAATATGATTTCAAAAACGCAACATATTACATACATTGCATCTCTTTACAATGGTTATAACGCTGGTTGCTATTGTATACAGATAAAAATGGAAATAAAATGGATTATCTCTTATTATTGTGTGATATTCTTAATTTACTAATTTCAATTTTATTAGGATAAATAAGTTTAGTTGTAATTTCGAGAGAATACTTTTTTATGTATAAAATAATTATTATACCGGATAAAATTTTAATGTAGGTTTTTTTCCAGATAGAAGTAAGTATTGTATTCAACTTCTTTGCTAATTCATAAACGACGAGCAAAGCAAGAGTTGGAAATATGCCTCTTTCAATACTCGAAAAATCGGCGAAGTTATCAAGGAAACATTTCGATAAGAAATAAATCCAACTGTTTCCTGCTAAGTTTAAAATTTAAATTTTTTCAAATCATGTTTTTCTAATGTCGTAAGTCAGTTAGTTTAGTTTAACATATTTCTTGTCGCGTGAAATATATTTTATTAAACTTTAACATTCACAATTTTTCAAGATTAAGAGTGATGCAAAAAGTATGAAGATTCAATCATATATATCTACATGAGATAGAGATAGAGAGAGAGAGAGAGAGAGAGAGAGAGAGAGAGAGAGAAAGAGAAACAGAGAGAAAATATGTATATATAACACACATCTTACAATTAGACTATATTATTTTATCAAGATTATTTCATTGGATTGCAACAAATTTATGTCATGGTTTTTTCCACTTCTGTACAATTTATTCATATAAAATATATGTACATATAAATAAGTAAATTGGTTATATATATAATATCAGACTCTATATTATACAATAACTAAATAAAATATATGTATATTTTACAAGAGTCACCGAACTTATATTACTAATATTTCGGGTTTAGAATCAATCGGTATGATTGCGATAAAAACAATGAAAATGATGTTGCAATATTTTCCAATAATAAAATTGATATTCATTGTATAAATACATAAAAAATGACATATAGTAATTATTAATATTTAATCATTCAAAAATATTGAAAATATCTTACTATACTGTCGCAATTATTCCGATTGTTTCTACTAATTTTATGTTCGTTCGTATCGCGCGCGCATTTTCCATTACGTATATTTAATATCTTCAACAGTTCACAGGCATATATAACGTTGTCGCGGAAATGCAAAAGTGTATACACATAAAATGTACAAAATATCTTCCCTGGCAGTCATAAGTCGCATCATATTGTACTGTCGAATTTATTACAAAATACAAAATATAAGATTCGAATTCGCAATCAAATGCACGACATTTCATATCGCTGCGAAATAAGCAATGTGCCAAACGGGATTCATTGTAAAAAAATTTAATATCAAAATTATTATATACATTCAATAGGATTAACTTGGGAAAAATTTACAAGGTCGAATGTTTTATTCCTCTTTAAAAAAAAATGTGTATAGACGCATATGCGTAATAATAACGCGTTCTAGATCCTGACGCTATCATCGTAATTAATTCTAATAGCTTAATTTCGCTTAAACTTAATACATTGTCCATCACATATATTACGTATTTATTTTGTGGATTTTCTCTTTTCATCACTTTCAAAACCAGAATCTAGATCATCGCTTTGACACTTTTTCAATGTACAGCCCTTGGAATTTTGTCTGTAAGACCCTCGTTCTAACAACAATTTTTTAATGCTATCTATTAAATGCTCAAAAAAATTCGGATAGCCGTCGTACCCAGGAAACACGTTAACATCTATTATCGCATATTTTCCAGTATGATTCTCGATTACAACATCTATTCCAACTAGAACAAGCCGAAATATTTCTTGAATATTTTTCACGATCTTTTCGAATATTTGGTAATTTGGCTTTACAGTTAAAGGAATGTTATCTTCAGACAATATAGACCACTTAGATCTACTCCCACTTTTCGATATATCATGTGAATCAAAAAATATTGTACTTAACAAATTACAGTCTTCTTGATAAAAGTTTTTGAAGCTAGGACGCTCAACCACATGAAAACGATCGCCTACTACGAATAATTTATATAAAATGGCGTTATGATTGATAAAGTCCTGAGCAACACAAGGTAGTTGACAGTCTTTCAAATCCCTTTCGTTAAAGATAATCATCATCTAAAATTAGATACTAAGTAATTTTCTTAAATATCTTGATTGCTTTGTCTTATGCAAGATACATACCTTATGTGCGTCGCTCGAACCATATGCAATAAGTGGCTTACAAACAAATGGATATTTAATACCACGCGTTTTTAATGTTGATACTATTTCGTGAACATTTTTGCTTTTGATTTCTACAAAGTTAGGAGTAAATATATCTGAAAAAGAATATATTGATGTAAAATATATGGCTCAATTGTCTTGTAATTAACATGTAACTATACTATAAGCTACTATAATCTACTATAGACTATGGACTATGCACCTTTAAACTGAATGCCTTCCTGTATAAATTCATAAGATTTATATCGATTGCGTAAGTTTCTAATATTGTCCAGTGGGTCAATAACAACCAAATCTGGGTGTTTGGCAATATACTCTTGCAGTCGCAAAACAATATCCGCAGCCTATAAAAATGCATTATAGAATCAGAGATGATGTAAACATTGCTGATAAATATTTTCATACATTTTTATCACCACTTTCTGCATGCGATTGCATATCTGTCAATTTGTGTAGAAAAACATGTAATGGTCCCTGCTTTTCAAGGCTTGAACTCACATCGATCTGAAACAAATAAAACAAGATTTATAGATATTAGAAGTATTTTTTAGCATCTGAAAACATGCTTGCAGAAATAATGCAATGCTTGCATTATTATAAAAAGAAAAAAGTATATTGCACTTTGCAATCAGAGAACAAAAGATATAATATGGCATAAAAATCTTTTCTTTAATTATAATAAAAACTCGAATTATTCTTGCCTATGTAAACATTTCCTTAAATTTATATTCCATTATATATTTTCAGATCATTAATAAAAATTGATATTAACCAGACATAACCTATTTTATGCACAGCATATTCCTCCCAATTTCGTGCGAATAAAAATTGATGTGTCAGAAGGGACAGTGCTTTTACTTACCATTTTCAACTGAAATCCCTCGGACTCGCATACATCCTCAAAATCGTTCCAATTGAATTTCTGCCGTTTTTTCTCGGGCACCCAGTAACCGATGACATACTTGTCGCACATTTTTCTTGGTCTTCGTTAATCACGGGCGGATCGATCCGTCCGATCACGTCTCGTGCCAGTCGTCCGAAATTAACGATCGGCGATCTCTCCTCCTCCCTCGTGGCACTATTTAAACGATACCCGGTAAATCGATCTCATATTTGCGCAGAGCGTGGAACGCGGTTATGTTTCGCCGCATTCAAAACGCCGTGTTTCGCGCGGTCACCGCGAAATCAACGATCGTACTACGTGCTCCGATTCTTCTTCGAGAGTCGACTACTCGGCGGCAGCCTCTCCGCCGCGAACTGACGGCGGTCGAATTATCGCTTCAACACCTTCGTCTCGCCTCGTCGATCGCCGATCTACGCGTTACTAATTCTATTGTTTACTTTCCAGAGCGCACACGTTGAACACGCCGCCGGAAGTATATTCTTTATCGGCCGTGCGTGATTGGAAAGTAAATACATGCCGGTAAATACTTGGAACGAGCTCGTTCTTTGAACGGGCGATTAGCGTTCAAGAGCTCTCACGATGATTAGTTAACGTTATTAATCGCATTAAGACAACAAATATCATAGATGCGTCAAGAATGTAGAAAATGTATCTCTCAATTAAAATCTATATTCAGATATTTAAATATTTTTCGCTTTTTTCTACTTGGGGTCTGGCAGATTCCAGATAAGTTTTTCACTTGAGATCTGACAAATCTCAAGTAGGTTCTCCATTCGGGGGCTGTCAGATCCCGAGTATGTGCTTACCTCTTATCGAATTATATATTTTCCTGATGACAAATTTTACTTTCTGCGAGAAAGTAAAGTAATATTTATATGATTGCGCAATAAGCGATTAATATAATTTATAAAAAAGAGAAACAATAATATATAGTTTTATAGAAAAGAGAGAATACGCTAATTTATTTATATATATAAATATATAAAATTATACACACACAATATATATATTTGTATATATATTATACATATACATTATATTATGAATACAATTAATTATTAACTGCTACGATTTAAAATGAAAAAAACATGCCGTGCTCCAATTCCTTTTGTATCATTATAAAAGGCACGTGACGAGATAATTAAAAAATATTCATTAGCCTAGATTGTCCTTTATTATGATATAAATTAAAATATTGCGATGCATCGATGAATTTCTGTATTTAAATACATCCAGAACTTGTTAGCAAAGACTGCAAGAAAAATAATAATTTAAAATATTGTTGGTATCTTCCTCTCTTCATCTTCCTTGCACACTCACCACCGGGGAATCGTTTAAAGACGTTAGCATACTTCTGGTAACAAGGATCGTCGCATTGCTGTCGCGATCTATCGAATTATCCGAAATTAATTCACGTTTCTTTAAAACTCTCACTTCCCCGAGAGAATAGGAACACGAACTTGGCATATACAGTTCTCCCTCGGAATGAGACGTCTCTGACGAGGTTTCGATCTGGAATCGCAAACGAAATCAACTTATTAGTATAATATCTATTGATTTACATGAATTATTATTTTGTCAGATATTGAAATTATACAATAAAATTACCGCAAGTCTCCTCATTATATTAATCTAATAAACTAATTCAGTTATATATAATGACATTTTTTAAATTGCGTTCCTATATTAATTACGTAATGAGAGAGAGAGAGAGAGATAATATAGCGGATTTTTTTCTGCCTTTCTCTCTTTCTCACTATATTTTATAATGGAACATTTGTAACTTACTCTCTTTGCATTTGCATTTAACGCATCATTGGTAGATCTAAAAATAATATACAATTAACAGATTAATAATTTCAAAAGCAATTCTCTCAGCATTAAATTGTTAACAATATTCTCGTTGTAATCACCTGTTATCATAATCTAGTAATGTACTACTGACGCTGGAGTTAGAGCTAGATAAGATATCTATTTTATACTTTTGCAAATCATTCAGTTGCTCTTCATTATTGCTTTTTGTATTTTTCAGAAATTCCGAGTCTTCAATTCCATCTTTACGATTGTCGACCGCTATGATCGTCATCGGTTTGCCATGAGTTTCGTCGTTTTTCGTATCCTTTACTAAATCATTCTCTCCAGCTATAATACTTTGCTCAATATGCGACGTGACTTCTTTTATGGATAATTTGCTATTTTTTACGCACGTCAACGAAGCGTGATCTCGCAGAGAATCGGCCAAACAAGAACTCGCAATAAGACCGACCTGCTCCACAACTACAGAATGTTGCAAACCTATGTCTTTCTCGATTGCGCATAAAGATTTGACCACTTCTTTTGCCGATGAATGTACAAGACTAACATCTTCCTTCTCCAGGATTTCATCAACAGATTCAATAGAGTTTGCATCCAAGTGAATTCGCTCGTCCTTTGACTCCGAAACCTTCGCAGGTGATTCGTTTTGATTCGTCGTGATATTATCATGCGTTTCTTCGATTGTATTTTCTTTCATAGTCTCTTGCAGGACATCCTTATCCTGCACATCGCTCGGCTCATCTCTACGTCTCTCGTTATTCATATCATCTTCTTTATTTTCTGCTGACACTATAATCGTAGCGACCGGATCGTTAGCTTCCATCGTACACCCCTCATTGAATTTTGTGGATACAGTTTTCGTAGACGGATTTTCAGAACTTTTGTGAGGAAGTGTGTCGTCGTCGCTACGAATATCTGAGATTTGCTTCAATGACTCGGCTTCTGAGTTTTCCTTGCTATTATTTTTAGAACTTTGAGGAAACTCGAGAAGGGCCGTGGAACGAACCGCGTCTTTTTTCGTTTCTCGACATGCGGAAGAATCGGGGCAAAGTTTGTCAGATTTCTTAAAGTCGTGAGATTTTTTGGCAATTTGCCCGATATTGTTCGCATTATCTTTTCCTTGTGTTTGCAGAATCGATTCTTCAATTGCATTCGTCCGAATCGAGGGATCGGCGATATTCTCAGGAAAGGTCTCCACATCTTTGACTCCTTCGTAAATTTGATTTTTATCAGCAGTAACTTTCGCAAAATCTACGCTTCCCGTCTGACTTGTATCTCTCTCGCTATTATCCTTAGAATGTTGAATAGACTCGGAACAAACCACGAAGGGAAGGCTTTCCTTCGTTTCTCGATCAGTCTGATTTTGAACATTAATCAGAATATTCTTGAAAATATCTAAAGTTTCCGTCTCACGCGCGTTGCGAATTGATTCGACATTGCGCAAATTATCCAGGAGCTTTTGCACCGCGACAGGCGCGATCGTCGACTCCTTCAAGGTGTCCGCGACTTTCTTCTCGATGCTCTGCTTTTCGTCCTGCAGAATGTAAGCGATGAGCCGATCCGCGGCCTCGGACGTATCCTTTCGAGGAGCCTGTGCGAAAACATTATCGGAATATTTCCTCTGAGAGCAACCGATCTCGCACTTCGACAATCTATTTGCAGACATGACATGTCGCTCCGCGTCTGCATGATGATTATCCTGAATAATATGCTTCTCTCCGTATGTCTGTATCTCCGTTCGTGTACTAGATAACGCAGGAGCTATATTGGAGAACGTCGTGACATCTGATTTATATATCGACGATTCCGATAGATGAGCTTTATCTCTCGGCTGTTGAACTTTATGACGCTCTTTTCCGAAACATTCGTCGTTACACAAACACTTGTCGCTTCGGCTGCAGCTTCCGCGATAATCGGTCTCTCGCGTTGCGACGTATCTAATCTCACGCGTAGCGTCTTCCTCGGTGCTCTCGGTATTTTTCGAAACTCGTTATCCGCGGACGTGATGGGACTTTCAACGGCGTCCAAGTGACGTAGGATGTAAGTGGCCGTATTCGCGTGGTACCAGGTCGATTCTGGCGAGATGTGCAGATCGTCCAGGTCCTGCCTTGTTAGTTCCCGGTCGACGATATGCACCGACGGCCCTATCTGAATTTCGCACGTGTTTTCTCGCGCACGAACGAGCCCGCGTCCAGTTGCCGATGACGTCCGTTCCGGAAGATTGCGAGCGCGATCATCGCGCGTCGTCGCCTCGTTCTCGTCCTCGTCGTTCGAGTCCTTCGACGATGACGAGTCGTCTCTCGACGGCACTCCGGCAGGCGAGGCACACTCGCGCGACCGATTGTCGCTTCCATATTTCAGGGTCTGGCAATAGGCACGTCGTCTTCTTCGCGACATCCGAAATTTAGGCGCCGACAAATCGACCCTGGGAACGGTAACTCGCGGAGATCGACTCTCCAAACGCGCGCTCGTCTTGTCGTTTGCTTCCGATTTCGAGGTGTTTGCCTCATAAAACTTGGAGGCCACCAGCTCGCGAATGTACATCAGCTCCTCCGCCTCGTCGTCTAACGGTGGGTTCGAACATCTAAAAACGTACAACACAATAGTAAATAATGTAAAGATCTTTTCTACTCGTATATATATGTATATGTATATTTCGTTTTCAATTAATTATTTTTTTTGTAACATCGAGTGATCGGCAGGCTTATGATGGGAGATAGAGAGATGACGATAGATTTTAATGTAAAATATAATACAAATTATATATAAGGAGAATTTGCAAAAAGAAAACTCAGCTGTTAAATAGAATATATTATTCGGATATTAATTATCGTAATTTGGATAGAATTTTCTGCTTACGTATTTCTATTCCGATTCCCAGAATCGAGACTTGACATCGCGCAGACTTCCATGAGTTGTATCTTTGCATTGTTAATAATCTTCTCGGCGTTCTCGAGTGCGGTCGACGTTTCTGGACTTAAGACGGGATTGGATTGCACTTCCACCGATCGATTTTTAGACTACAATTAACAATATTTAATGTTTACCGTAAAAGATATATATTGAACAGCTAAATGTTAAATTAAAAGAAAATAATTTAGTACCATTTTCTCGTCGCTTCTTTCTCTTATAGGAGATTCTCTGTTACTTCTGCAAACTTTATTCTTGATTATCAATCTTTTAGATACAGCAGTTGGAAGATGCCGATTCCCATCTGTGATATCGTCATTTTTCTTGCGCGATACATTCTCTCTTTGTTTGCGATAACACGTGCGAACAGAAGTCATCTCTCCTGCAGATGTGACACAAAAGTCCTTGCACGATTCCAAAGAACTCGAATTTTCCCTGCAACAAAGAAAGGAATATTCCATAGATCAATATTTTCATTATCATAATTATAAAATATCGATAAAAAAATCAATATTTTATTAAAAGAATGAAAGAAACAATCAATCATCAATCAATTAAATATCTTTGAAAGATATTCTCCACACAATTCTCTATTGTAATAATTGTCTCCATTTAGAAAACTAAAGATCAGCTTGACTTAATGTTTACGAAAGTAATTAAAAGAAAAAGTAAACTATGTGTATATATATATATATATATATATATCTTTTACGTTATTTTCAAACTGCATATTGTATAAAATCTAAAAAAAAAGAAATTAAATCACCTCACTAATAGTAATCGATATAATCGACTTTCTTACCGCGTGTCGCGTTAGTAAAGAATAAGAAAGTAATGCAATCGTTTTTTCATACATGTGTCATGTGATAAAAAATTAACAGTTAAATATATATAACGATCTGACAATGTTCATCGTGTGCTTTAAAATATGCATCAATTGGCAAGCTCGACGTGCCACGTCCTTGGACATGCACGTGGCTCTTAATCCCAATTATAACAGACAAACAACGATGTGATTACGTTAAAAAGATTGCAGATCATCTCGTGAATCAAAGTGTTTTGAATGTCATAGCAAAAATAAAACGTTAAAGTTTCCTGGTATTGGTATATATACATATATGAGCGCTCTTTTTTCCTCTATCAATATACAATCAATAATATGTATTATATCAATGAAAAATTATTGATTATGTCATGTTTTTTAATATTTGCATTTTAATTTTACACTCATAAAATTGGCAAATTATCAAAAATCCAAAAGTAAATATAAAATATAAACAATATGTAAAAAGGTAACATAAAACAATAAATAAATATGAAGAACATTCTTTTTTTCATACCGCGATATTGATATCTCTCGTACAACTCAGAAACGCTATAGCTTACAGATAGAGAGAATAAGAGAACGTTGGCGTTATGTTCGAGTTCGCAGAGGCGGGTTCAAGGACCGGCGATAATAAAGCTCTGAATCTCTCTCTCTTTCTCTCTTAGGCGGGGGTGGTCGCTCACCCTCTCCCTTTCCAACTCTTTCTCGTCTGAAAATCAAGCTGTTCTCCCGCGCTACGTTCAGCTACGTCGTCGAACCTTCCGCGATCCCGGCCGGTTGCAACACTGGCGTGTCTCGTCTATAGGCAATGGTATCGATCCTTAAAGGGGAGACCCCGAATCACCGGCCGGAGCCAATTGTGACCACTTCCTGTTCTCATTGTTAAATCAATTAATTTACTTTGCCATCTATTAATCACGCGATAGGTGTTTCCACGAGGAAATAAGATTATGAAGGGTCCGCTGTAAAAAAAAAAAAAAAAAAGAATATGTGACTCAAACGGAGTGTCTTCCCGATATCGCTCTTCGTAGCGTTTGACCTGTGAATAATACGCCGGCGCTTTTTGCTGCGCGATTAACTCGCGCGTGAAACACGCGCGTTATACACGGCTGACCGTTCCCCGCGCCCGTTCCCCATGCGTCATCGCGCGGTGCGCCTCCGCAGACCCAAGGCACCCGGTGCATTCACGAGGAAAATCTCGGTGGCATTTTTTCAAAGGAAATGTCGCACGGCGTACGTAACATAAGGCGAGTGCAGGCCGCTTGCCAAGGGACGCTAATTTAGCGAAAGGCCGACGGATGCAATCGGATGTCGAATGACGTCAGTGGCATCCTCCGCTAAACGCGCGCGTCCCAAGGAGCTCGGCCGCTTTAACGCGTTCCCTCGCGCGTGATCAATAACAATACGTCAAAGGTACGTAATGCGCGACGTTCTTTAAAGACGATGGACCGTTTAACCGCGTATTGACCGCTCGTCAACTTGCGCGTACCGAAGAATCGCGTTCCTTTCGTATTTTTGCGAAATCGTTTGTCTTGTGTCACCGATCGCACACGTGTCGTTCAGGAATACGATTCACATTCTTATATAATAATAAACGTCATGGTTACATTAGGCGCGCGCGTAAGATGTAAAGGCGTAAAATGTATATGTATAAATCTTTTTTTTTTTAGTTTTCATAATTTCCTTCTATAATTTTCAATTTCTTTTTTATATACGGGTAATGATAATCTCTCCTTTTACATTTTCGTCTCTCCTAGATTTATTTTTCGTTGACGTTTACTTTTCGTCCCGATATTTCGACGCTTTCGTAAATATTTTTCGTTCGTGACTGAATAAGAGAAGTCTCTGAATAAAAAAGTCAATGAGTATGAACACAATAATCTCCAGGACGTGATCTGAAGGAATTTACTACACAGCATTTCAAAGAAAGCGGGACGTGCCTTATTTCCTCGCGTATCTTATTTTCAAAGTCACGGTGATTAATATGACGCGTAGAAGGGAGATCGTGCAAAGGGAGACGAGAAGAAAGAACGAGAGAGAGAGAGAGGGAGAGAGATCCTCATATACTGAAATTTTATCTATGCGAAATCATAAAGACACGATCTTAGCGTCGCTTGTATTAGTCATCACGTAATTTACGCGTTATCGCGCGACTTTCAGCTCGGTTACGACACGAGTCGCTCGACGAGCTTTCGCACAATAACGGTCTTTATGCACGGTAACGGTCGAGAATATTGACCCTGGTTGACCTTTAAAGACGAAAGATAGTTCCGACGCGAGAAACCAATCCTCCGTTTCGCGAATTCCGCGAAGGGAGTGACAGCTATATTCTTTTACAAATTCGACTGGTAAAGATATGTAATCTTTTGTATAATATATTACGCATCTATTCAAGTTATTTTCCAAATATTCTTTAAAGTGAAAAAGTCACGTTTTTTTGCCAAATCTAACTTTTTTCATATGTGACAGCATGTAATTTTTAAATAATTAAATTAATTGAAAAATGCGCGTCAAAAACACGCACACACGTAGGAAATTTTTTCGCATAAGAAGAGAAATTAAATCAAGAAGAGAAAACATATACATATATATATATTATATATAAATCAGAATTCTCTCCGTTCCATTTGATTAATCCAATTACGCGGAGATGATAATTCGAGACCCGCATATTCCATCTCATTCACAGAGGATCGATTTTACTTGTCGGTCCATATTCGAGAGCGTTGAATAATTTACGCCTCATCCGCTTTAAGCGCGCGAAGTCATCGCGCACCGCTATACAGTGCGGATGGAGCCGTCTGGAACGTGCACAGATCAATATTCCGCCACGTTGTATTCCTCGTCTCTACCTCTCGTTCCTCTCCTGCCTCTTTCCGCCCCTCTCATCCGATCCCACCTACCCCAGCTGAATATTGGCATTGATTTTCACGGTTCGGGAAGGCTCGCCCTAGGAGCGGAACTCGCCTCTAAGGTCGCACTCTACATGTTTTTCAATTATTTATATATTATATATGTATGTAGATATATATCAGATTTTCACAATATAGTCTCGAATACGCTGAAGATGCGTGCATATAACAGGATATAATCAAATTATATTTGTATGTTCTCTCATTTTTCTCGTATCACTTTTAATTTAAATTGCAAATAGCTACGAGAGCTACTAATCTTGATTAAAAAATTAAAAATTAAAGCTTGTGCCATTGATAATAAAAGGTTTGGAACGGAAATTTCTATGTTAATTGACAATCGATTCTAGCGTTTATCTAATGACATAGCGAAAGTCCTGTGATAAATAAAAGATAGAGTCAAAAGAACATATATATACAAGCAAGCTATTGAATTATTTTGTAGTATTAATGGCTGAAAATTTATAAAATGGATATATATTAATTGTAAGGATATTCGGTGATTCTTGAGGATCATATGTGTGATTACAAAATAAAAGAAACTCGTTGTTCTGTCACATCAACACATATATTTTGTTTTTGCTTGTTGCATACATACGATAAACAGTACAATGTTACACGTTCCTCGAGGTACGGTATACTAGAAAATTTTCATTATCCACTACTACAATTGCTATTCGACGTATTGTTTCGTCATATCTCTTCGATTTTTCGTGTATCTGCGTAGCTATACGAGTCATTTAAAAAAAAAAAAAAAAAAAAAAAGGAAAGAAAAGGAGACGAAAAGAGAGACAAACGGAACGAATTACAATAAAGACGTGAGAGTTCCTCGTTTCTTTCTCTCTCGATCGGAGGAGAGCTGTCGCGCGTCCCTCTCGGGGGGGTAGCGAAAAAGAAAACCCGAAATGCGGTTTGGGCTTGGTCGTCGACAACGAAATCGGACAAATGCGTGAGCGAACGAGTTGTCATTGCAGCCTCCGTTATTCTATCCTGTAATACCGCACAATATCGCGGATAATATCGCTGTACGTTTACTTCTCGTGCATCCCAATTCCTCTCATTCCCGATTGATCGACGACACAATAACAATAAAAGTACAGTAAATAACAACAATAATAACGGAGACAGACAGAGAAAACTACATCAAGCAAACCCCAATCTGTAATCAGTAAACAATTTGTATCGCAAAGTTCATAGAAAAAAGTGCCGTCACGAGGACGAGATCCTAAGAAGATCGAGCGAGTACGAAACAATAATGCAACAAGATCCTTGCTCAGAATTTTTATTCTAGAAAAAAGATCCGGAAAAACGATGCAACGGATATATACCGAGAGCGTGTGACACTTGTACCCGAAGGGATGACAATATGTGACGACCAACCAAGCCTCTCGTGTTGAGAGACGCTCTCTCGTTTATGGTATATAAACGTGTTACAAATTTAGTACGTTAAAAGGGGCTCGCGCGGCCGCACGTGCGAGAAAAACAGAAGTGTGTCTGCGCGGAGAAAGATGCGTAACTCCTGTTACCGCGAGTCCTAGCCGAGTCGAAGACGTCTTCTCGAGGAACCGTCTTTCCGACTGGGACTCGACGGAAAGTTGTAATAAGTAATAAGTATCGCATAGACACTCCCCTCGTCTACATCGGCAGTTTTTGCGGAAGCTAAAAGCGTTCTTAGACTCGTAACGTTATATATATATCGCGTGTAAGGAAATTTTTTTATAGTTTATAGTTTAATATGTAAAAGGACAGAATTTGTGTCTATATATGTAACTTTTTTTACCTTTTTTTTTTTACCTCTCGGTTTTAATTATGCGTATTACAACGAATCGTGACAAATAAATGTCATCGATAACTTTACGGCAATATGACATAATGATATGATATAACGATAACATTACAAGTCTGGACGCGCTTTAAGAGGATCGTCGTGTCGCGCGAACGCGCGAGACATCACCCCGAAATATCGTTACTCGTCGTCGCTAAATCGAGAGAGCGTGCTGTCGCCGAGAAAACGGTATCTCGAACTCTCGGTGGAATTCGTCCGTAACACAACGAGGCGCGACAGTATGTGTGTGTGTATGTGTGTGCTCTCTTTTTTTTTTTTTATTTTCTATTTTTCCCCCGCGACAACTTCCGACAACCGCTCTCTTTTCACTGTGTGCCGATCTGTTTTTGTACAAATATATACAAAAGGATATACGCGCGCGCCCGCGTGCCCGGGAACGGGTCCCTCTTTCCGCGAGAGAATCGTTCGATCGTCGCACGCAAAAAGATCCCACTCGGGCGCGTCCAGCGAGTGTCTCTGCCTGCCTGCCTTTTTCTCCTTTCACTTTTTTTATCTTTTAGACATAGCGAGTATGTGGTTCCTATTTTGACGGGCGTGCCTTTTTCATCGGTGAAAATGAAAAACCAAAATGCCCTCGACTAAAGGTCTAGCGCATAAACTAAAGGCGAAAGTGGACGTTGCATAGTCGAACATTATATTATATAATTCGCTTTTTATGAGTGACTGGATAGCGACGTGCTCACGTGTCTCGCGTGACTTCTCTACTTTTTTTTCTTTTTCTTTCCCCCCCGAAAGACCGGACGAGCGCGATTACAAAGAACGCGAATAAAACGCAACGTCGTATGCTCTCGCGAGCAAGAAACCGAAAATAGAGAAGGAAAACGCGTGTCTCTACACAAAAAAAGTCTTTCGGAGAAATGACAGCGTACAACTTTATTCGCGAGAACAAAGAAAAGAAAAGTGACAAGAGACGCGAAAGAGAACAGGATAATAATAATTTAAAAAGACACAGAACGCAAAAACGAATACATAGACTTTTGTACACTTAAAAATCGTTAAAAATTTTTTTTTAGTTATACGCTTTATTAATATAATGTAGGTATGTACACATATACACAATGTACAGAAAACCCGTGCGCTGGGTCCGAGAATATTCGCCATATGTTTTATATAATACAACGAGCGAAGTATAGGGTAGAAAGAGTATACAAACAAAAAATAGAAAAAGGACGGCGATCGCCGTGAAGGCGATGCTATCTTTCGCGTTAGTCATTAATTAAAATCACGACCATCCTAAACGGACACGCGCGAAAAAAAATAAAATACAATGCGGACCGCGTTACGCGATACCAAGTCGACGATTTTATCTCGAAGTGTGTGCGTGTATTATGTGTGTGTGTGTGTGTGTGTACGCACATACATATGCGTACATATGTATGCATGTAAGTGTACGTGTATTGTGTGAAAAAACGCGAGCGATTACGTCCGCGATTACAAGAGACAATGAAGAAAGGCATATCGAGCCTATAAGTACAAACCCAAACCGGGCAACAAATCATCATCATCGTTGTCACCACCGTCGCGATTTCAACCACGTGTGCTGCTTTTCTCATTGAAAATCCACGAAAAATAATGCGCTGCTTCCATCGTTAATTAACCGCTCTCTACGAAATCCGTATGTACATGAGCAGCAGAACAACCGATCGCCAGCATACAATTTGCCAAAGACTTCTTCTCAAAACCAATCGATAAATACCGTACGGTATCGATCACATCATCAAAACGCATCGTTAGCTGACTTCAAACAAAACCGAATCGTCCACTTTCCCCCCTCCCTTCCCTCCCACCCATCTCTTATGGATGACATTAACAACTTCATGAGAATCTGCACCAGACAACGTCTTTGGCTCGAGTCGTTCGTTGGCTTCCTCTGCTTATCGCCAACGACTATTTATCACCGTTACCAAAAGCGTTTAGCGAAACCCTTCATGGTTCCAACCATAACAGCCCCTCTGAATACAGAGGGACAGAAAATTTGAGCCCTGAATAGACATTGAAAGAGGATCTTTAAGTTTCTCTCTCTTTCTTAACCTTGAGTCCGGTACCCGCGGTGTCCTCGCCCAAGATGGTGGCTATCTCGCCCTGCATGAAGGCCCACGGTACTTGGCTGTTCGCCAGCGGGCATTTCTCACCACTCGGACAATAAACCTGAAACAAGAACGGAAATTGTCGATCAGTATCGTGGTTTCGATTGGAAAGACCATCTAAGGAAGAGGTAACACCGAATCACTCACCTCTGAACCAGCACCCTGTCTCTTTATGCTGTCCCGACTACACGGGAAGCAAAATTTGTGGTGCGGCACGCTGGGACATTGAACAAAATGCGTGTCCTCCAGACGCTCCTGACATAGCGTACATTTCAGAGTCGGTGCCGAGACCGGTTCAGCTCCGGCAGCTTGAGCAACCGCACCCTCGGAAGATGTCGTCACAGTTGTCGAGGACACTTGCCTTGAACTACTGGACCGTCTGCCTGTGGAGCCTGCAGATTAACGCGATTGTCGTTCTTCGTTATATTTTAACCTTTCATGAAAAGCTTGATTTTAATGTATTAAGTATTTTTCTGTAAATCAGATGATATTACGATTTGTCAATATTATATCTGATAAGACGTGAGTGTGTAATCTATAAAGACGCGGATAGTATTGCTTCAAGCTATCCGCTTGCGGATAGTATCAAGATAATAGGAATAATACAAAATATAAAATAATAATACAAAAGGATAAAAAAATTTAACAATATATTACCATAACTGTCTGTACTATTCGGGCTGTGCTGAGAGCCTCTAGAAGCACTGCGTTGCTGAGCGGTCGCGGCTGTCGTCGGTGGACTTCTGTTGGTGGGGCTGGGATTGTTCGGTGGCTGTGGCACGGGCTCCGGTGATGTCAGATTATCAGCGACTGACATTAGAGCGGCCATCGGTGACGGTCCGTTCGCCGCGGTCTAAAAGAGGAAGCGTCATTTTCATCAGTTCCAGATTACGAGTTTGTATAATGAGACTCGCGTTCGGAAGGAAACGTTTATTAAAAACGCGAATAAATATGGCTCGTCGTCCGTGAATGAGCCGGCCATGCTCTACTAAGGTGATAATTATACCGTCGCTTTATCTACATACCTGATGATGATTCGATTGTGAATTATCGTTGGCACTTTCCTGCGTCGGCGGTGGCGGTGGTGGAGGACTCGTTCTCGGACGAAGAGGCGATCCTCCACCATTGGCCGCGACGTTGGCAGGTGCCAACGGTATGGACGGTCCAACATATGCCCCTGTATAAAAATATATATCGTTAAAATACGCGCTTCTTGATCCGAGCATATCGTAAATATACGCAAGAAAGAGAGAGAGAGAGATATAAAGTACCGAATTCTGGGAACTTTTCGATGCAGATATTAAAGGCATATTCAAACAAAATTCAGGATATTAAAATGTGAGATGTACAAATAATACAGTTCTACTTTTCGCTTTCTATTTCCTTACTTTTTTACATTCTCGCTTTATTCGTGTTTCGTGATACCTTTTTTAAAAATTACACGGCGTCATAATTCTCAATTCCATTTATCTTTCAAAAAATGCGGTAATTAATGAAAGCGGTTTTTTTAAGGGGGAGGGGTGGGAGATATACATTCCTAAATTATTATTTTTAATGTACAGGATAGAAAATAATATTGCACTCAATGACCGAATTGAATATATATATTCTTGCAGTCATCATTTGACGTACAGTTTTCTTTGGTGCTAGTGTCACACACATATCGAAGCACGAGATTTCCGAGGGAAAAAATGAATGACATGCGATATTAGAAGCGATATTAGTAACGTGATCGATACGTGGCGTGACACGTCAAGCAAACGCCACTTATCGAGAATTTAGATTGTCCTTGCTCATTTCCATTTCTTTGCCATGTGCAATTTCCGTGTGGAATGCCCTGTCCCCCTATAATAATCCGTCTTTATAGCACAATGACTTCATTGGCGAGCAGAAATAAATGTCGTTTTTCCCTCCGACGCTACGCCGATAAATGGTAACGAGACGATTACGGAGAACGAGAGGCAAGAAATATAAGTGAATCGTTATCCGCGCACGTCAGATTACGTCAATAACAGCGAACCGTATTATTTCTCTTAACTCGCGCTCTACAGACCTTGAATTAAAATTTCCGCGAAATCTACACGGATCTGACTCGAAACGAATCAGATGAAATGATTCGCGGCAAGTTGAAATATACTCTTCCTAATTATTGCAAGATTAAATATATTTGAAGACTTTGACTTCATCTATAAATAGACATTGTTTCTAAAAATATTCTAATATCGATCAACCGCGCGCTAGAGTTGAATAGAGATCCAATACAAAAGTGTGTGTGTACATATATATAATTTTAATAATATCGTTTTTAAATTAATTTTTCAACCTAATTTTAATTTTAGGAATAAATATTAATAGGAAAAATTACAAATTTTTTTTTTTTAAGTTACTATAATGATAATCAAAACATAAACACGCGTTTTATATATCCATTTCTGTATAAATAAAAATATAGATGTTTCGTACCAATCGCGCCGTTACGTCATGGGCATCGATTTCGTGTTCGTAACTACTTTGCTTATCATTATATATACCGGAAAGTCAGTCATACTCGCGAAACCGCGGGTTGTCATAAGGCAGTGCATTTTCATAATGTTTACTTGGCGAGCCACTTAAAGAACCGCCAAGACGATTAATACGCGGATCGCGTAGATATATACGCGCAAAGACCGTGATGAGACGATGACACATATCATTACGACACGGCCACGTTACCGTATTGCGTTGTATCGTTATTGGCCTTCGACACACGCCGATCGTTTATCCGATGTTTTATGTATCATGCGGACCGATTACTCCTTTCAAATATGTTATCGTATATACAACATATACGATATATAATCTCTGTCAGCGTATAATCCCCACGCTTCTTTCATATTTTCGATGTAAAAACTAGCAGGAAT